AGACGGAAAACAGACTGAACCTGCCCTTTTCGCTGCACGTGCGGTGGCTTTCGCTGCACGTGCAGTAGTTAAGCAGAATGCAATTTTGGCCGATTGAAGCTTGGCCTCTCGAGCGGTGGCCCAGGCCGCTCGAGCGATCTGGGTGAAAAACCAATTCGAAAATCTGTTGAAAGTGAAGCTCTTTCCTTTTTCAAATCCAACTTCAGTTTCATGAAAATCAAGGCCCAAAACACATAAAAACAACTTGATTTCAACATATCTAACTTCAAATAGAAAACATAATTCCAAATCAAACTCAAGTTGTTAAAGGAAAGATCAAATGCAAAATTAGAAATGTAAAGTCATAAAACATGAGGGTTTGGGTTCCAATCCTTCAAATTTCATAAAGTTTCCTCTACTCCTCACAAATCATGCAAGGAATCAAGTGTTTATATGCTAAGATATTAAGCTCTTCCTTTCAATCCTTCTGGTTAGGGTTCTTACAATCAAATTACACTTCTCAACTTCTTATCTCATCTCAATTTCTATGATTTTATGGATAATAACTTAGATTCATGAGGATTGCTTAATTTCCCCTTTCTGCACCTTGAACCCTAGAGTTCTCTCGCTTTCTCTTCCTTAAGCTCTACAACTCTCTCAAGTCTCTCTACAAAAATATCTAACTCTATAATTCCTCCTCTTATTTGTTGACTTGGCTAAAGAATGGTTTAGACACTAATAAATTCATCAATCCTAAGTTTAAATTAATGTCTCAAAGTCACTTAATTAATTCCTTTCTCATCTCATACTACTTCAATACACACTAAATTTATCCATGCCACTATGAATCAGGCTCAAATTGCCTATTTCAAATATTTAATTTTTAATCTTATGGTTGACTGATTCAAACAGGTTTATTTCCCATTTCTATCCATCTGTTCTCATTAATTCAATATAATTAACACATGACACAAAGAACACATGACACATATAACACATGGCACATAAATTTGCATATAAACACATAATTAATGCAAATCACATAATTTAACAGTTAATCAAGGAGACAGTTGTTACAAATTTTATATCTATCTGTTGAAATTTTTTAGCTATTTGTTCAAAATTTTCCCTTTATCTATTCAAATATTTGTTCAAATTTTATTATCTATTCAATTTTGTTTCTCTGAATTCAATCTGTCTAAATTCTATTTGTTCAATTTTTATTTTATTTTATTTTCTATTTGTTGAAATATGAAGCTAAACAAACTTGTATCTGTTGAGCCAAACTAACATTTATTTGTTACAATACCAAGTCAAACCAAACCCTATCTATTCAAATTTCTATTTGTCTCCCTTCCTTTATTCCTATCTGTTCCAATATGTTTCATCAATAACAACAACAACAACAACATACATCTGAATAGATAAACACACAACCAAAAAAATAAAAGAGATATAGATAGAGAGATATACAAAGGATGAGAGATAATCCATCTGTGTTTAACAATAACAAAAACTATGAACATATCTAAACTTGTTTCTGAAAGTGACATAAATATGACTCTGTTTAACAAAAATAATCAAACTTGTTCATGAAATTCCTTTTACTATGTGTAATATTGCTTTTTTTGATTTACACTCTTACTGTATTTTCAAGTTCAACTATCTACAAATGTCTTCCATCTTTCTTTGTAATAAGAGTACTACGATACTTTGTTTAGTTATGGATCTATATTTCCTGAAAGTAAATGCTTGTTCAAATTACAGAGCCTAGGTGATTTTGGACGAATTTGAAAAAAAATGGAAAGAAATGGAGAAATGAAGGGAAATATGAGAGTAGCAGTGGTGGAGACGGGAATCAATGGGATGGTGGTGGCGACAGAGTTGGCGAAGTAGGAAGTGGAGGTGGTGGTATACGAGAATGAAGAATACTTGAGCGGCAATGCGAGGACGATCACCGTCGATGGCGTGGACTTGGACCTGTGCTTCATGGTCTTCAAACTCAACTACCAAACAAGAATAATCATAAAATAAATTCCATAAAATGAAAGTAAGTGGTGAAATAAACCACCAGAATTTGAGAGCTGCGATAGATTATTGGATCGGTGGTAGATCAGCTCCTAACGGCGATGAGGACGAGCAACAATAGAGTACGTCAATAGAGAGGGAGGAGAGTAGGGTTTGGTTTAGAGAAATGTAGAGCTTTCTTGCTCATCCAAAACTGCTGGCGGCAACGGCGCCATCGCGTCTACAAATAGTAAGATAGAGAGAGATGAGGGGCTAAGAAGAGTCCTGCTACGTAGCTCGAAATCAGCGTGGCTCGACTGGCTCGAAAATCAAAACGACGTCGTTTTGATTTTTTTTTTCTTTCTCTGTTATGGATTTCGAGCTACGTAGCAGGTGTTCTGATTTGTGTCTTCACTTCTTCAACAAAGAAAGAAGAAAGAAGAAAGAAGAAAGAAGAAAGAAAAAAGAAAAAAAGAATGAAGAGGAAAGAGAGAATCAAAACCAAATCATCATCATCATCAACACCAGATCATCATCTATACACACACATATCTATATATATATATGAAAGATCTATACTTCATCATCATCATCATCATCATCATCAACACCAAACCAGATCAGCATCATCATCAACATAAAAAATGAGCCAATTCATCATCATCATCATCATCATCAACACCAACACAGATCAGCATCATCATCAACATAAAAAATGAGCCAATTCATCATCATCATCATCATCATCAACACCAACACAGATCAGCATCATCATCAACATAAAAAATGAGCCAATTCATCATCATCATCATCATCATCAACACCAACACAGATCAGCATCATCATCAAAAAAGAAAAAAAAGAATGAAGAGGAAAGAGAGAATCAAAACCAAATCATCATCTATACATACACATATCTATATATATATATGAAAGATCTATACTTTATCATCATCATCATCATCATCATCAACACCAAACCAGATCAGCATCATCATCAACATAAAAAATGAGCCAATTCATCATCATCATCATCATCATCAACACCAACACTAGGTCATCATCTATACACATACATATCTATATATATATATATGAGAGAGAGATCTATATATATTTATATAATTTTATATATAAATAAATCTAAACCCAGTAAGCTCAATCAATAGAAACAAAAACCCAAATCAAAATTAATAAACAAGAACAAAAGATGATAATGAAGATAGATAATTTGCAGTGCTGTTGATGTGCGAAAGTTGTGGCCGGTTTTGTATTCGGTTTCCCCATCTCTCTCTCTCTCTCTGTTTCCCTCTCTCTTCTTTCTTCCTCTCTCTCTCTCCCTCTCTCTCTCTCTCTTGCCCTCTGTTTCAGATATAAACGAGGAAAAAAAAACTGCCTAAAACGACGTTGTTTTAGGCAGTCGGGCCATTCGAGCTGAAATATTTTTGAGCTATGGATCATTTTTGGGCTAAGAATTAGGGTTTGAAATGAGTGTATACTATATAAAAGCTTGTCCTTATAGACAAAGTGTTTCAATGCCTAAACATACAAATAAAGAAAATTTAAAATTAGATTTATTGCCCGAGCGCCCTAAAAAAAACTAACATTATAATTATTAAATTTTATCGCTTTGTAATTTTTTTTTTAAAGCCTACTTGTTATTTGGGAGAATTACTGACACGATATCAGGAAAATTTTTTTTTTACAAAAAATTGAAAATTATTATAAATATTAATAATTAAAATCATAAGTTTTTAATTTTTTTTTTAAAAAATAAGGCTGTGTTTAGTAGAATTTTCTAAAATTAATTCTACTATTACATTCTAATGCTATGATTGGTTTGAGTTTTCAAATTATAATTCTAAATCAATTTCAAAATACATTTTGAAAACATGTTTGGTAAAGCGAACAATTTTTGAATTTTTGGTCTACCCGATCGTCCGACTGGTTGACCAGAACAGTACTTTTTTTTTTCCTCCACCTATTATTTGGAAAAAAAAAATATTTGTTTTTGATATTTTTTAAGTATAGAAATTATTTTTTTAGACCAAAATGACAAATTATTTTTTTGAATTGAATTTTAAAAAGATTTTAGTTATGAGTTTTGAATAGAATTTTTAATAGAGTATTGAGTTGTGTGTTTGGTTATGAATTTAAGTTTTTCAATTAAGTATTGAAAACTCTTTTCAAAACTCATCACTAAACAACTTTTCTCATTTTGTATGTCACATAAAAAATTCAAAACTCTTTTTAAAACTCATAACTGAACAAATTTTTTCTTTTTGAATCATAATTCCGAAACTCACAAACTTAAAATACAACTCTATTTTCAAATCATAATTTTAAAACTTTACCGAACATTACCTAAGGCCGTGTTTGGTGGAGTTTTGGAAACATGATTTCACACTTTGGTTTGAGTGCTGTGTTTGGTTTAAATTTTCAAAAATTGATTCCACACTTACTTTTGAAAACATGTCTATTCGGTCATTCTCCCGGACTCTCGGACGTCTGGCCGGTTGATCGGAACAGTGTTTGTTTTTTTTTTTTTTTTGGGGCAATTGGCACCTGTTGTTTTTATATTTTAAAAAAAAATATTTTCTGAATGTTTTAAAATTTTTTATGAGTTTTGAATAGAATTTTGAGTTGTATGTTTGGTTATGAGTTTTAAGTTTTTAAATCAACAATTTTTCTAATTTCATATGTCACGTTAAAAATTCAAAACTATTTTCAAAATTTATAACCAAACAAATTTTCTCTTTCAAATCATAATTTCAAAATTTACAAACTCAAAATACAACTCTATTATCAAATTATAATTTTAAAACTCCATCAAATTCTACCAAATTTTCCTGCATCCACTCAGTGTTAATCTCCCTTGCTATTTTGCCAATTACTTATCGTGACTCGACGTGGGTCTCATGTCACCGCACCATATAAAACCCCTCAATTTCGCACAACTGCCTAGCTTTCTCCAACGTTCTCAACGGCTTCACTTCACGTCCAGTCCTCTCAACTCACAACACACACATACACACACAGTTCTCAAAATTCATAATCTCTTCAGCGAACCATCAACTTCCATATAACTCACCAGTATTCAATTTCGATTCCAAAATGAAGCGTAAGGTTCAAGCAGTACAGTGCTTGAAGAAACTTCGATCGAGACTTCCTCGTCGCCGACGTTCGCAAATCTCTCCGATTATCTGTTCAAACGTAAAGCCACGCTCAATTGCTTTTCCGGTCGATTCGAGTGCTTCTTCGCACTTGACGAGAGAAGTTTCGTGCGATTCGAGCAGAGTTTCGGTGAATAAGCCGAGACCTCATCTGAAGAAGCGAGGTTTGGAGGAGATCGGTGGTTTTGGAGAGAATGAAGAGTTTCGGAGAGTTACAAGGTCGTATTTGAGGCAGAGAGAGAATGAGAGGAAGGAGGTGGAAAAGAGACGTGTTGGAGATGGCGTGGTGGAGATATCGGAGTCCTCTTGCGTTGAGTCGTGTTCTGGAGTGAAGGCTCGAGAGATAAATTCGAAGTCGAAGAGAACGAGTGGTAAAGGAGCTGGAAATGCGAAGGAATTTGGAAGAATTGAAGAGTCTGGAGCTACTACGAAATCTGAGGTCTCGTGCGTACAACAATTCTCCGGCGAATTTTCCAGGAAAATTTCGAAGGCTGGAGGAGAGAAAGCCAGAGGAACCGAGAATTCACTTGAAATTAAGGAGAATAAACTAGTTTTGTTCTCAGATAAAGCGAACAATGACGGTGAAAACAGAGTTCCGAGAGTTGAATTGTTTGAAGTTTCACGGAATTACGCTGAGGCGAATCTCACAGATTCGAATTCAGGATTGGCTATTGAACAGAAATCGGAGCTCAATGCAAACGATTTGGATCTCGCTTGCTCAGAGTATCTCTGTAATGAAGCTGAATCGGACTATTCATCGGCATTTTCTGATCTCCAATCGGAGATTTTCCCGGAAAGTTCAGAAGTAGATTTCTCAGACTACACTCCGTCCGTGTGGTTCGAATCTGGAAGCGAGTTTTCGGAGCGATCAGTCGGTGACGAAAATCCGACGCCTACATTCTCATTATTCCTCCAGTACGCTCAACAATTCTATAAGTCAACCTCCGCTTTAGGCTCCAAAATCTCTACACTTTTCGATGAAGAGCACTCTGATGAATTCACAGTAAGTTACTCCAGAACTTTTTGAATTTCAAACCTTTTATCAAACTAATGTGTATGTTTATATGAGTTATAGATTTGTGTTGTGGTTTTGATTTTTAGCCGTTGAGGTTTGAAGACGACGAGCACGAAAGGAGCTACCAGATGTTCAGAGACAGAGAGAGGAGACAAGTGTATGTACACGACTACACGGCGGAATACTGTTCCACGACGGAGCACGGCGAACTTGTCATCCAGCAGAGGCTACATATGGTCCACTGGATCGTTGAGGTTAGTTCTTCTTTTTGCATTTTTACTCGCCATTGTTGCAAGCAATTACTCGTTCACCGAAGATCGGTTGCTGAAGAGTTGTGCTCGTAACACTTTTTTATTAATTAAAATAGTAATGTTGCATTTTCAATTGAGTTAATCATAATCTAAATGAGATTTGTTTAATCAATGCGTTTTATTTTATTTTATTTATTAGTTGAAAAAGTCATTTACTTTAAATAAAATCTATCGCATATTATGTAAAATTTATTGTCTTAATTTTATATTTTATTCAGACCAATGTAACAAAATAGCTTTCACTCATAGCCTCATATGAACTGAACGGTCACGATTTGTGCAATTTATTAGTGAAAACTGATATGTCATGCATGCATGTGTTTTCCTCGTATACATAACGCTACCAGACAACTTGCACTCTTTCACAGAGTCACGCTTGACAGGTTTCACTTCTCTTCTATTGGCTTACGGTGCACTTCTCATGTTCACCAACCAAAACAAAACTGAATGGCCAATGCCCTCGTTAGGGATTGTGCTGTGATGTAGTTTCTTTCTTTTCTTTTTATTTTTTTATTACAATGATGTAGTTCCTTGGAGAAATTGCATATTTTTATGGTGGTGTAAACCTTTTATGCGTATGGTATTAGTTTTTATCATAGTGTAATTATTTGAGAGAATTACTTAACACTTAGACAATAAAAAAAACTTACATAAGTATGAAGGGGTACAAGTGAGACTTGCACCCCACCATAGATTCACTTACATCTCTCATGTTTTAATAATTCTTTTTTTTTTCTATGGCCCACTGTCAACTAATTCCCCTAATTATTTTAAGATTGTCCTATTTATTTGTAATTTTTCCTAAATTCTTTCTTTGGTCAGTTTGATAGAAGCGGTTGAGTTGAGGTAGTGAACTGGGGCTTCTATATCTAGGAAAAAAAATTCAATACTGGAGTAACATATATGGCATTGATTATGTGATACTTTCGGCAAATGAAAAATTACAATATATATAAAGTGGGTCATTATTTGTCTTTTTAACTATTCAATAAAAGTGAGTTAATATGTGTCACTTTGTAAGATTTTTTGTAAGTGATTAATTTGAAGCAAAAAGTAGACAATATCATATGATAACGCTGAACTACTGAATAATTACTCTTAAATCTATTCTAAATATTTCACTATATACACTCAATAAAACAACTCAAATGAGTTTTTCTAGGAACTAGCTATTTTAATTGACTTTTTAGCTTTTTACAAAACAAAAATGTTTCATGCCCCCTTTTCCCCCACCCCCTTTGACCCCCTCTCTCTCACATTGGTTACATTTTTTTTTTCCTGCTCCTCCAATCACCACCCGCCACGTGTCTGTGGGGGGTGGTGATTAGAGGGGGTGGTGATTAGAGGGGGTCTCTATCATGACTCTTTACAAAAAGACGTATAGAAAAGTAGAGAAATAGTTGATTTTTTGGTAGTAGCTTTTTTCCTAAAAATGTAAGTTTCCAAACTTGCACTAAGAGACTATTTGGGAAGAGCCAAGGGCTAATATAAAAAAAAGAGTCAAAAAATCACTATCAAAAAAGGTGACTATTCTCTTTATTTTTTTGCACGTCTTTTTATAATTTTTATAAGAGCCAACAAGTTAATTAAAATAATCAATTTTTAAACGATCTATGAGACTGTTGTACCTTATGAAATAAATTCTTATACGGCAGGTGTATGGAGAAATTTTAGCATAACCTTAATACTAACATTTGGATTTTTTAAATTTTTTTTATTACCATTTTATGCTATTAGATACATGACAAGATATTATTCGGTATTATTATTATTATTATTTTTTATTTTTTATTTTTTTTTTAAGGATTATGTCGAAATAAAAATCCAATCATAAATATTTATATGGACATAATAACAAATATGGTAAAACTAGTTATCAAGAGATCTTCAAACCACATGTCAACCTGAATATGAATAATTAATAATTCAAAACAGGGTATCTCTGCCGCATTAGATGTGTGACAGTTACTTGCCTCAAGCACAACCTTAGAAATTTAGTGATATACTGCTTTCAAATCAATAAGAATAGTCGCATGATAGCACCAATTTTGGATTAATAAAAACATTGGTCACATATCAGGTATAGACAGTTTGATTTATCTTCATTGGCGCTCAAGTGAAAAATAAGACCGGTCTCACACATATTTCGCACAAAGAGATTGAATTTAGTGAAAACCCTATGGTTTACAGACAACAATTCACAGGCTGACAACTCAGAAAATCACTCAAAGTAGATGGGGTTCCACCCTGTTTTAATTTTAGAAAAACTCACTGGTGGTGGACATATGTAATGCATGCTTTCTTCTTTTCCTTCGCTTCTGATTGGACAAGTGATACGCTAATACTGTAAGTCACTAGCGAATTGCGGGTAGTCCTCTTGTTGAAGGGGGCAGCTCATTTGAACTATAATCCAGCCTATGTGGTTAACCGTAACTCTGAAAATGTTGATTGATGTTTTAGATTTTCATACTTGTTTTATGTTATGCTGATTGATATTTTAGCTTTTGCACACGCTTTCTTCTTTTCTTTCACTTCTGAATGGATAAGCGATACGCTAATACTGTAAGTCACTAGCGAATTGCTGATTGATATTTTAGATTTTCATACTTGTTTTCTATTATGTTGTTTAGGATATGTGAATGATTTCTTTCTCCTCTTTCTTTTCTAGGAGGCAAATTTTGACATAATTGCGACATTTAGAAAGTTACATCATCGAACTGCTCCTTGCTTCACATTGATTACTAATTGACTTGTCCATGGTACTTTGTATAAGCAGCAATCTACCACAAAAGAGCTTCAGAAGGAGACAATGTTCCTAGGCATTAGCCTTCTGGACCGATTCTTGAGTAAAGGATTTTTCAAAAACAAGAGGAGCCTTCAAATTGTTGGAATTGCCTGTCTAGCATTGGCCACCAGGATAGAGGAAAACCAGCCCTTCAACAGGTAACAGTTTTATTTTGTTTTGAATTATTTTTTGGCAAAAACCGGTGATATATAACAGTCCTGATGTATTATTGTTCCCACATTTTATTTTGGATTATACTTCGAGAAATTAGGTAAAAACAGAGTGAAATCGTCTCAAGCTCATGTGAGCTTCTGATAATGACTTAACTGGATGATTCAATCAATAATTTTTCTGTTTCTGCATCATAATCATTACTATTATCGTTAAATTCATTGAAATACTGAAGTAGATTAGAGTTCGTCACTGCTTAGATTATGAGGATAGAATTCAACTTACTGTAATTTTACTTATGGTTTGTTCCAGTGTGAGAGAAAGGAAATTCAGTGTAGGAAGCAATGTATACAGCAGATGTGAAGTGGTAGCTATGGAATGGCTGGTGCAGGAAGTCCTCGACTTTCAGTGCTTTTTGCCAACCATCTACAACTTCTTATGGTACGCCCTTTCTGTCCATGGTATCATTAATACGAGTGCAATGTGAATGTTGCATTGTCTACATGAAAACATATTTGTACTCTTGTTCCCTACTTAATTATGGATATTTTGCAATGATGAGATAGGTTTTACCTGAAAGCTGCAAGTGCAAATGAAGTGGTGGAAAAAACTGTCAAGTACCTAGCAGTGCTAGCGCTCCTGGGTCATGAACAGCTGTGCTACTGGCCATCAACTGTTGCAGCTGGGCTCGTTATGCTTGCCTCTCTCTCAGCCAATCAAGATGCATCATGCAACCATGTCATGGAGGTATACATACAGCACATAATTACATAAAAACTTTCAGTGATTACTGCACTTGACATAAAGCTGATTTGATCCATTGCCCATGGGCTAATGGAGTATTTTGACATCACAAAATGAAATCATTGATATATGTTCCGAAAACATTTCAAATGGTTCCTTTTGTTTTCTCACAACATTTCAGATGACTCCTTTCTAAGTTTGGATAGTATCTTACTCAAAATTTTAAAATATTAGATGCTTAATTGATGATACCCATGCCAGTCTTAAAGATGTATACTTCTTATAACTTGATGACTGTTCTATGTCCATCAGATAGCTGAAATGTCAATAGCATCCTTTTGTTTATTGATTTTCAATTAATATTGGAGTGTGATGAATGAAAAGCTTCATCAGGTTTTCATTTGGCAATTTTTTGATTTTACTTTGACAGACACATCTCAGAACAAAAGACGATGATCTACCAGGATGCATAAAGGTATTGAAACAAAATCTTGTCATAGACTTTGTCAATCCTTTATTGTTCTTGTTTTGAAATATTCTCTCCTTTAAGTTGCTATTCAGATTCAAAGTGGCAACAACTCGATTCATATTACTCGATCTATTAATTTTCTCTCCTTTATTGTTCTTGGTTTCGTCTTAAAAATTTGTTCCTTTTTTTTTTTAAAAAATTTGAAGTGGAAATTTTTTTCTACTGGCTATCTTTCATAATTAACAGTATCTTTGATATTTTTATTTGTGGCAGAGCCTACAGTGGTTGGTAAGGTATGCTTACTAACAAGCATCGCAGTGTAAAAAATAAAAAATCTCTGTTTGTTATCTTGGAGCATTACTTCTCAGTTCTCAGTCACTGTAAAGACACAAGTGATACGTAGATGAAGGCAATTTTCTGCAACTGGATCGCCCTTGTTGTAAACTGTCAATAGAACAAACGACAATCTCCGTAGACAGAATTTGTACCTTCTTTTTGCAGCAGCCCGAAGCATGGGTAATTGTAGTGCCTTTTTAGTAATAAGCTACTTATCAGTTACTTCAAAAAAGGACTTTGAAGCTGTTGCAATTGAAATCAGCTTGACTTCAGTGATCCTACAGTGGAATCATGACTTCTATGAAAATTATCACTGCTGAAAAACCATGTCAAATTGTTACTCTGAAGTAGAATAGTGTTGCTTGAAACATACCATATGCTTTTTCTTCTTCTTCTGCTACCTTTCCCCCCTTTTTTTTTTTTTGCAAATATGTAAGAACTTCATGGCATTGTAAACAAGAACCAGAAAAGGACAACCTTGACCTAACAGAAGAGAACATTCAGGAAATGTAGATGATCTACATAAACTAGATTGATGAGTATAAACTAGAGAGACAATAAAGGAGCCAAATGAAAACAACAATCTCAAGGCCAGACAGGCTTTCTAGAACAATAGCATCCTAAGTTTCCAACTCAACAATCTGCATAGGCTGACATTGTTGGGGGCTTGAGTGTTCTACGAGGTCAAGACAAGATATGGAGGATGAACCAAATGAAACTAAGTCGATATACAAAACAATTTGGCCAGATTGGTAGTCCCATGGGACTACGAATCTGAAGCATTTTTTCAAAAACAAACATGAGTTTGGCAGATAAAAAAATATATACTTGGATCCCATGTGGGCTTCGTTTACTTTTTTTAATCATCAGATTGAAATCTCATGGAGTTTATTAAATATGTGGCACAAAAGTTATATCAGGGCAGAAAAAATAAAGATACCCCAAAATAAATTATGAAATGGAGAGTTTGGTTGATTTTGTTTCTGCATAGCAATAGGAATTTGAGGCATCTAAAATAAAAAGGGCAAAAAATAGAAATCTGAATTACTGAGAAGAACGAGTACCAAAAAATATTACATTCTTTCCATGAAATGCTAGTTTTTCCCAACTTTGAAGCTATGTTTTGATCTTGAATTTGTGAAGGAAAAGAAATGGCAAGAAAAAAGTTTAAAAAAACACCTTCCATTTCGTTACTTATCCCTTCCATTTTCTTTTTCTTTCATGAATTTGACCGTTTCTATGTGGTTTTTTTGTGTTGCTTGGTAAGTACTTACTTAGTGGTTGTCAACCTCAATTCATCGAGGAAATAGAATTTTAATTTTATAGCTCTTAGTAGGGTTAAATAAAGTAAAAAATTCTCAATCAATTGTATTCAATATCCAAAAGCATCTTCTATTATCAATAATCCAATATTTATAATAAGCCAACCAAGAAGAATAAATGAGGAAAAAAAATCCCAACCACAATATTAACTCGCTAATTAAATCGAGCTCAAATAAATCAGTTGTGATTCTTCCCTGCCCCACTAAGTGCGATGAAATATCGGACCTTGTCATGTGATCCCCATCACAAGTTCTGCTCTATCTTTCAATAAATAAGCTTTGGATGCATTGAAACATGAAACATATTGTAAACATTAGACAATTCTGGTGGTAGTGCAAGACAGCCACAAGGCCAATTCTTTCTAATATCTCAATGGTCCGACGTAACACGGGTTCAATTTTCCTCGTTTTCCAAACCAAATGACTTCTTTTGTTGGTGAAACTTTCAAGAAAATATGATCTCCTACTTAAAATTCCAAAAGACCTGGATATGGTCTAGTATCCGCATAACGATATCCTGGTGGTAACTCTAAAGATTGGAGAGTGCCATGTGAGGCGCATACTGATTGACCAAGGCAGTTCTTGTGACATCATGCATGTCAGATGTTACAAGGAGCTTGGCCTTCACCCAGATGATCTAAAGTAGTTTGACAGCCCCATGGTCGTATTCAACAGGATGCCAACATGGCCTCTAGGAGCCATGAACTTTGAAGTGTAAGTAGGAAGCAAAATGGTAACAACTGAATTCACTGTGATAAACAATCCCTTCCCGTATAATATAATTTTTGGACGACCTTAGTTGCATGCAATAAGGGTTGTTCCCTCCACGTTGCACCAACTGTAGCAATTCCCAACTGATCAGGGGATTGAAAAAGTGAAGGGGGGCCAAGTACAAGCGAAGAATTTCTCCGCGGCAGCAATAAAGTACACTTGTAATGTAAGGGAGGTAGAAAGTGTAGAAATTGAAAGCGAAGACCATGAGGTCTTGGATGATGTCGGCAAAGAACCTACCGAGAAAAGTGAAAAACCACTGAAGAAGGTTTTGGTGCAGGAAGAAGACGATGAATGCTTCTTCCTTCTCGGATTTAGCTTAACTGAGGAGTAAGAAAGAGAGCTGGAGGCTTTCTTAAGGAAGTACATAGAGGTGTTTGCTTGGACACCTTATGAAATGTCGGGAATCAGTCTTGAGGTCACCTGTCACAGACTTAACGTGGACAGGTCGGCCAAACCAGTCATTCAGAGAGCGAAAAGGCCGATATTGATACATGTGTCGGTAATTAAAAAAGATGTAGACAAGCTACTAGAGGCACATGCCATTAGAGAGGTAAATTATCCCACCTGGTTGTCTAATACAATAATGGTGAAGAAGAAGAATAGGAAATAGAGGGTCTGTGTGGACTTTACAAGCTTAAATAAGGCTTGTCCTCAAGGATTGTCCTAAGGACAGTTTTTCACTACCCAAGATTGACCAACTAGTAGATGCCACTTCAAGGCATAGGAGGATGAGTTTTTTGGACGCATACAAAGGCTAACACTAGATAACAATGTCTACCCCAGATGAAGAGAAGACGACATTCATCACCCCAAAAGGACTCTATTGTTACAGAGTAATGCCTTTTAGGTTGAAGAATGTAGGGGCGACTTACCAGAGACTGGTCATCAGAATGTTCAAATAATTGATTGGGAAGACGGTAAAGGTTTACATAGACGATATGGTTATGAAAACCAAGGAACCTGAGGGTTATCTGACCGACTTGAAGGCAGTCTTTGACTTCATGAGATCATATCGACTTTGACTCAATGCCTCAAAATGTGCATTTGGAGTTGGATCTGATAAGTTCCTGGGATACTTGGTCACAAGAAAGGGCATTGAAGTAAAGCCCAGATCAAATCAAGGCTATCCTTGACTTGAAGAGCCCGACAATAAGCAAGCAAGTACAGATGTTGACTGGGAGAGCAGCGGCCTTGAACAGATTTATTAGCCGAAGTTCAAACAAGTGCAAACCATTTTTTAGTTTACTAAAGAAGGCCACAGATTTTCTATGGACAGAGGAATGCGAAGTCGCTTTGACCGACTTGAAGAGATACTTAACAACCCCACCGATGTTGTCGAACCCAATACTAGGAGAAGAACTGTTCTTATACCTAGCTGTTTCAAACTATGCCGTGAGTGCGGTGGTAATCCGAGAAAAAGATAGAGAGCAGAAGGCAGTATACTACGTGAGCAAGACCTTGGCAAGTGCCGAGACCAGGTACCTGCCCTTAGAAAAATTGACAGTTGACTTGGTAATGGCTTCAAAAAAATTGAACCACTACTTTCAAGCCCACAAGATTATGGTACTGAAAGAGCATCCCCTAAAGTCCATGTTGCAGCATGGGGACTTGACAAGCAGAATAGCTAGATGGGCAGTGGTGCTAGGCCAATATGACTTGGAATTCAAGCCTAGAATAGCAATCAAGGGCCAGGTCTTGGCCGACTTTGTGGCCGAGTTCACTCCTAATGCAATCCCAAGGCGGGCTCTGGTGAGCCGTGGCTTAGGGTGTCCAGGAGAACATAAAGAAACCCAACTGGGGCCCCAAAACCCCACACCAGCTGCACAGAAGGAGGAAGAGAAACCAAAGCCCTACGATATCTACATCTGTCACGACCTAAACCCGCCCCTGTAGGTTTAGCACCGTAACCGGCCAGTAATCCGTGGATTACCAAAGGCCTCTGAACAGATTAGCAAATAATAAGGGGCTGCGGAAGCAATAATACAAAATAGACAAGGTCCAATGAGCTGTGATAACATACATGGGATAGAACATTTCAAAACTTATTTATATATACATAAACATGTCAGTCCAGATACACAATAGTTACAAGGTATTTACAGAATGTACTTCCCAAGACCTGACTTTACAGAGCATACACAAAGACTAGCATGAAAACAAAAACAGCCATGGCTTTAGGTTTTGTTCGGAACCTCCTCGGGAGGCACAACAGTTGGCTGACAAAAACAAAACAGAAGGCTGTCAACTCTGGCCCTGGTCATGTGCCGGCTCACCTACATACATAATATAAACTGTGAGCGAAAGCCCAGTGAACAATAATAGAGTAAAGGGTTTCAATGAATGAGTTCGTACAGATTCAGAAATCATAATTCAGATTTGTATCAAATTCATCATTTGTCCAGATCATATACAGACAGAAATCATAAGTCATGATTAAGTTTACGTGATACATCCATTAGCATTAACAGAATAGAACAGAACGTATACACGTGAGGTTACGAATAACCAGTTCCATAAAGGAACCTCCGGACCCGGGCAACAGAATAGAACAAAACAGAAGTTGAGCCCCCGTGACAGGGCCTCCGGTACGGGTAACAGAGTGCAGACAGAAATAAGTTCCATAAAGGAACCTCCGATACCGGGTAACAGTTAACAGATATCACATGATGCTAAGGATGTCACGAATACATATCAGAAATTGAACAATCATTCATTGTACAGAACATATCATTTCGGAAGACAGACCTTGTTTTATCACACAGAAAGTAGATACAGTTTGAACATAACTTTACTAAATTATTACTCACAGTTGGCCTTGAAACAGACAGACGGAGCAGATTGATCACACGGTACGCGGCACGTGATCTACATAACACATAACGGGTACACACTTGAAACACACATTCTAATTGCACAAAACTTACGTCGTTGGTTCGTAGTGTGTTTCTAACCTTAAATCCTCACTAAAGAGTCTTAAACATGACCTAGGGATGCCTAGGATGGAATGAGGATGCAAAGATGCCTTGGAAAACATTTTTCAAAACATGCTGAAAACAGGGGTCTCGCTCGAGCGTGGCTTCCTTTGCTCGAGCGAGCTTGTCAAAACAGAGGAGTCGCTCGAGCGTAGACTCCTTCGCTCGAGCGTGAGACACAGCTCTTCGCTCGAGCGTA